TATTGTTAAATGAGAAAATCTCACATCGAGTATAAAAATAAAAAGCTTGTGAGTTAAATATAAGAAGGGCTACTCCACCTATTACCAATTGATTTTAGGTTGGATGCAAACAGGGTAAGCTAAGTGCTGTTCATAAGCTTGGTGTGGCGCGTGCTACACAGAAAAGGATAGTGACTGCCCCTTTCCTTACAGTCGTAAGCTTGGTGTGGCGCGTGCTACACAGAAAAGGATAGTGACTGCCCCTTTCCTTACAGTCGAGTTATCTTACTCCCATGTAAAAAAGACCAAACAAGGGTCCATCCAATTCTTGTGTTGAATGTGAAGCTTGGCTTAGATAAAGCAAAGGGGAAACAAATCCCAATATGATCTTGCCATCATTCTCTTGACTTGGGAAAGGACCTTCTCTTTCTAGCCATCTTTCTGTGGGAATATTCTCCTTATCTTATATGTTCTCTTATAGTTTTCTGCCATCTAGTTTGAGTGGTTGCTCCTTCTTTAAGCCTGCTCCCTTCCACCCGTAATGACTTCCCTCACTATTGCTGCTAGTGAAGTTGAAGTGCTTCTCGTTGTCACATCTAGCTCTATTCAATTAGAGTTTAATCGTCAATTCTCTTTGAAAACGATTTCCTCTTTCTCCAAGATTATCTTTGTGTTGAGCCCACATGCAAGATTTTTAATATAGTATCAGAGCTTATATTCTACCATGAGAAGCCCGTTGTTAATCCACCTGATAGGATCCGAAGTTGATACCAGGCCTGCATTTAAGGAGGCGTGTTAGCCCATGTGACAGGACCAGACATTCATAGCGGGCCTGCACGTGAAGGGGCATGTTAAGTGGAAAAATCCTACATCGAGTATAAAAATAAGAAGCTTGTGGGTTAAATACAAGGAGGGCTATTGATTTTAGATTGGATGAAAACCTTATGATGAGTCCACATGCAAGATTTTCGATATATATCACTTTTTCTTTTCTCATTATATGACAGATTAGTATTGGCCTGTCGCATTCTCCTTTGTTGCAAAGATCAAAGGAGTCAATACCGTACCTACCGTACCGGCCGGTACGTACCGGTTTTAAAGGTTAACCGAAAGGAGCAAGTTAAGATTTCGTTTTGGTCAAATTTTGGGTGTACCGGTCAAATTCTGGTATACCGGCCGAAATTTCGGGTATCGGCTGGTACATCGAAATTTGATCGGTACACTATGCA